CGCCAGCACCTTGTCCCGCGGATCGCGCTCCTGCCTCTGCCGGCCTAGATCAAGATCAACACCAGCGCCTACACAACGAAGAAAGTCCGACAATTTTATTTAGCGTAGATTTACGTATCTATTTTAATAGAAGACCCACTTCAACAACAACAACCTTTTGACAGCCGCCTCACTAGGGCGCGTTGTGACCCGCTACAAGTACAATGCTGTACAGCCAAAATCACCGAGGCATGGCTCAAACGATGTTGTCAGCCACAATGCAAAGGGGTCTGTTCCAGCTCAGGTGCGAGACCGTTCCACCAGTTGGCTTCGTGACTTGGTCGCCGTACGAAATGTGTGATTCCAAGAAGTGGAAGAAGTTTGGCGCTGAAGGTCGAGCGCACAACAGAAGACGAGTAGGATAAAACGATGAAAGGGCAACGGACGCTGAAGCATGACCATTTCCGATTTGATCCTCATACGAGTAAGCGATCCCGCCACTTCCAAAAACGGCAGGTGACCCCAAGAAACTTTTTTCGACCCCAAAATTGCTCAAGATTGCTCGGCGTTTGAGAAGCGAAATGCGTGGTAATTCGAGTCCACGTTTACAATACTCTCACACAGGTCGTTTCCAAATTATGAACGTTATTTGTCGGTCGATGGAACGTTGGTCGCTCGAAGTTTGCGAATCACTGCGTTGAGCCATCTCACGACATCTTGTGCTTCCTCGCCGCCGTTGGCTCGGAGTTTTTTCAGCTTCTTTGCGACCTTTTTGTTGTATTTGACAATGCTTGCTTGGTCAGCGGCGGACGGCGGTGTCGACTTGGGCTTCGGGCATGGCTTGTACGTTCCATTCATGTCGGTGATCTTGAGGTGGTACTTGGTATTCGCCCCGTCAAACTCGACCCCATTCGCTTCAAAGTGTTGTCGCCACTTAGCGCGGATGGGCGTAAGCGGACGTTCGGCTTCACTCGTGGCGTCCTCGGGGTCTTGCCATTCGATTGCCATGAGAAGCGCCTTATTGAGGCAAATGAGTACGTCGTCGCAGCCGCTGAACATGTGCCGCATCGACTGCAAGTCCTTGTCGCTGATTCGCGGCTCCGTGTCGCAGGCAAAGAGGTGAATGCCGATGGTGCTGATGCCGTAAAGTTCTTTGACAAAGCGTCGGCGGTGGTCGCTGTCCGAGTCGTTTCCAGGCAAGTCCAGAATGTAGACGTGCTCGTGGTTGGGATCAATATTCTCGATGCCATTGGGGGCGTACGGTTGAAACATGGGGAACTGAGTGCTGTCGCGATGCGGCGGGGGCTTCTTGCTGATGGCGCGGAGAAACCACGATTTGCCGACGGTTTGGTTGCCATTGATGACGACGAAGATAAGGCGTTGACAGACCATGCGCAGAGCAACGATTGTCTTGAGCACGGCAATGAAGCTCTCAACGATGGGTCGATTCACGGCGTCTCGCACAGTGAGATTGGCCGTCGTGGTGAACTCCTTCTCGATTGCTTCGGCACTCTCGTCTTCGCCAATCGTCATGTCAGTGACCGCGGCCATGACTCGCAGTTGGTGAACGTAGGCGCTCCCGAGTTCTTTGTACGTCTCGGACCGCAGTCGCATGACCGCTTGGGGTGCGGCCTTATCTGCTTGACGGAAGGCGTTGACTAGCGCAATATATGCCCCATGGCCCGTCAAATAGGACGAGCTCGCGCACACGACAGTGCCAAAGGCGGCCACACCAAGATCTGCACCAACTACGGTGGTAGTGGCCGAGAGCAAAGAGAATAGCTCGACACATCCAACAACGCCAATGCCACCCGAAAACAGAGCGAAACCAGCAGCCGCCAAACCGACGATGCCGAGCGCCAACCGCCCAAGGATACCGGTTTTGCAAGAAGCAAAGTGAAGCAGCGTCGTGGCGGCTTCCTTTGCTCGGGCATAGAGGCTTGGAGGCGCGATCAAGTGATTCGTGGAAAGTGCCATCGCCGTAAAGATCGAGAGACTGTTCATGTCGGCCGTGATGTTGTCGTCGTTGAACTTGTTCCACGTTTCTTCCGGCGCGTCGCTTGTGTCCTCGGAGTGGTCCTGGATCTTGGCCATGCGCTTTTGGAACTTAATCCAGCCTTGCATCGCATTGTCCACTTCCGTCTCGACGTTCAGCGTCGAGTCGTTTGCCTTGGCCATCTTGTACACGACTTCGAGGTACGCGCGCTGCGCCAGCACAAAATCAGCAACCTTGTCAGCGATCTCGTTTTTGCCAAAGGTCTTGGTAACGACAGCGGCGGACATGGCTTTGTTGAGAAGCACAGCCAACCACATGCTGGACATGTCGCTCGTCACAAGGGTCGAGGCGGCGACCAAGTGCACCGTGTTTTGGAGCGCTATCGCTTCCGCGGCTTGCTCGGACGGCACGCTCTCGCTGATGAATCGCATATACGTGTCTTGAATGTTGTGTTGCTGCTTGATCGTGGCCATGTCTCGCTTGCGCAGGAATGGTTCCGATTTGAAGAGCTTTTGCCGGTTAGTGTCGACGGTCCACGTCGGCTCGGGGTCGTTGTTCGACGGGCACGACGGGTCCTGTTGTTCGTTCTCGTTCTCGATGCATGCCTTCCAAGTAGACAGGTTGACCCATGATCCGTAGTACTTGAATTCAATCAACGCCGCGGCCCAGTCGTTCATGGCCTGCTCCGACACCGTATCCACGTTGATGCCAACAAAGAGGGTGACCAGCGTGGACACGAACTTCTTCTCATCGAGCACCGCTTTGCGCACAAGTTCAAGGACTGGACCCACGAAGAGTGCTGGCACCACGTCGGAATCGGTGAAAAAGGTGATGAAACGTGACGCTTCATCAACGTTGGGTGCGTCGCTCTTGAGGAATGGCGTCGAGCCGAATGCGACCGAGAGCAGCTTCGTCTTGTCAAAGAAGTAGCGCGGGTCCGAGATGAGTTCGTAGTGGGCCGTGTGGGCTATACTACCGCCGCGGCTGTGGCCACACAGAATCACCTTCTGGATATCATCGACTTCAAGTAAAGCCCGGGCAAGGCGGACGATGCCGAGGCCGCGGACGTCTTTGAGGTACACGGTTGGTGCGTGGGCGTCTCGACGGGGAACAATTTGCTGCGCGTGGACAGCAAAGTTGGCCAACACCTCCTGAGGCGAGTTGGTACCTGTGATAGCCACGTACGCCACGGATGCTATTGTAGCCACAATCACACGGATCTTCTCGCCGGCGTAGGCAACAAACGGCTGGTTCTCAGAGCTAAGGTTGAGTTTTGTCTTGAGCTCGCTGAGCGTATACACCTTGAACTCGGAATACGTCGCCCGCGGCGGCTTGGCCGTATACGTAAGCGCCGACAGGCGAAGCGTCGTGTTGTATTCGTAGATGGTGAGGTGGTCACAGGGCGAAGGCCATGTCATAACGGTTGCAGTCGAAGACCGTGATGCGAGGAGGACAAGTGAAATCGAAAAGTGACGTCTGCCATAAAATCGCGAGCAAACGTTCATTCGCAAGGGTACAAACCCACTTGATAGAATCCACCAACTCTTTTTTCACAGTAGTTATCATGTATCACGTGCGCGAGCTGCGCGTCATTTGGCAACAAGCAGCGCGAGCACTTGATACAATAGCACAACTCGACAACACTGTGTGTGGGTGTCTTTAGAAAACAACGCAGATAGAACGGCGTCGGCAAATCGTCCGCGCTAGAATTTGGGTTCTGTCATAATTGCACATATGACGCAAATATTCTTACCGAGTGGCCAGACTCCATCGCACCTGTATGCGCTCTGCGTCGCTCGCTCCAAGACTGTTTCTTGGGGATAGCCTACTGTCCACTTCCACTGCTCCGAGAACGAGACAGGACCTTCTATTTGTGACCCAGGCGCAAGACAGCCTCTCTGTCCTTCTCTGTAAGATGCACAAACATTGTATGGGCGCTCGAGATACCTGCATCGTATAGTATCGCTCGAACGAGAAATATGGGGGATGCCCAGCCTCACGTCGTCACGCCGCTTGACGTGTTCAATGAATTTGTCGTGGCGCCGCCGATTGGCTGCATCTGATGGGCGTCCGGATAGCGCATCCGGATTGGTCGAGAATGGCGGCATGTGATTGGCTCTTGTCTGCGACAGGCCAAAACCTTGACATTGCCAGTCGCCTTTTTTCTTGATGATGAGCTCGGGCCTTGACGACGACAACGACGACGTAGGCTGCCACCGCTAGCTCTCATCTCATGCTCTCTGGTTGTAGGTGCGCCACCGCTTCTTTGCAGCGTGTGCCAAGGGCGACGTGGCCACGGTGACCGAGACGCTCGCGCTCGGCGACGTCGACGTCAACGAGGTCGACGAAGATGGCAACGGCGCGCTCCTGCTCGCGTGCAAATACGGGCAGCTGGACGTCGCCCAGCTTCTTTTGCTGCATCCGTGTGTCGATGTGAACGCTTTCAACGACGTAGATGCTCCCTACGAGCCAACCACCTCGCCAATTTATACATCTTATTAGGCGGGCTACACGCCGCTGATGGAAGCGGTCGATGCGAGCCACCTCGCGCACGTCGCCGCGCTTCTCCAGCACCCAAGCATCAACGTGGAAGCGACGGCGCCGGTTCACTTTGTCATTCTTGTTGCGATATCGGAGTTTTCTTAGTTTCACAATCTAGGGCGGGTCGACCGCCCTCATGCTCGCATGCATTCAAAACGAAGTCGAGATTGTGGCGCATCTACTCGCGTACCCCGATATTCAAGTTCACCACGGGCTCGAGCGCACGGGCATCACACCCTTTATGATGGCGTGTTGCCAAAACAACAAGGACGTCGCGGCGCTCTTTGTGTCCCGACCCGGGTTTGACATCAACGCGACCGCGCACGAGGTGATGACCTC